TTTTAATGATTCATTATATTTAAATAGGCTGGCTTCAGACCTGGTCGTGGCTGTATCGAACACATATTCACCATTCGTCAAGTTTTAGAGCACAGACACGCTTATCGGCGTCCGACAATGATAGTTTTTCTTGACTTGAAAGCAGCATTTGACTCCGTAGACCGAGAGGTTCTGTGGCAGTGTCTGTCATTGAAAGGTGTACCTGAGAAGTACATAAACCTTGTGAAGACTCTTTACTCGAACACTACCAGTCGAGTGAGAGCTTATGGCGAACTGTCATATGATTTTACAACCTCAAGTGGTGTCCGACAAGGTTGTCCACTATCCCCATTTTTGTTTAACTTCATTATAAACCTATCAATTAAGGGACGAGTATACTGCGCAGCAGTTCGCTCTGTTCTACTTTACGGCTGTGAAACATGGCCATTAAGAGTAGAAGATACTCGTAGGTTACTAGTATTTGACCACAGATGCCTTACAAATATTGCTCGCATCTGCTGGGATCACCAGGTAAGTAATAGTGAGATTAGACACAGGGTATTAGGGAATGTTGGTAAATCAGTTGATGAGGTGATGAATGTTCATTGACTGAGATGGTTATGCCATGTATTACGTATGCCTGAACACCGATTGCCTCGACGTTCTATGATGACAAGTATTGGGGATGATAACTTCATAACTTTTTTCCTTTCTATACTATATCCTTATATACAACCTTTCTTTATATACTTCCACCACTAAATTAACTATTCCTATGAATTCGATGTTCATCTTCTTGTGCTAACGAGGTATGGCAACTTGAACTGATGCATAAATCTGCCTGGTCCTACGTTGTAGCTTACTGACTGACTGAGGGTTTTCTGAAATACATATTATTAAAGATAAAACATATTTGACACAATAAGTGAAGAAGACATACTAAATTCTTGGGATTATTTATTCATTTGTTCAAGTGACTGAATAGATTTCATACTTACCATATTTAATCCAGCATTTATTGGACTTTATATTTTTATCAATGTTATATTATTAACAACATTTAAAATATTTCTTGTATATTTTATATAGTTAAGATTATAAATCAATTGAAGCTAGACCACTATGGAAAACTTGAAAGCACTATATATAATCAACTGTCCGATTTAGTCGGTTGCTAACATTTAAACAGTTGATTAACTTTTAATCAATGACATTTGTCAGCACACTCGAGAAACCATAGGAATTCTTTGTTGTTGTTTTGTTTTGGTTAAGATTTCCGATCAAATATTTATGTAAATGAATGATATATATCATTATAGATATTAATCCAAATTGATTTGTTGAATTAAACATATTTACATAGTAATTTATATGATACTTGACTATTATGAAAGCTTATAACTGTATACTCCCTTTTAATAAATTTCCATAATACAATGAGAAGACAAATTTTATCAGAATTATGTGATATATTTGCATAATACATTTCGAACAATCTGATCACACATAACATATTTGTTAAGAACATTTTTATATTAAAATTAAAAGGTCAACTAGAGAGGTTCATCGTTGAACAATCTGTTGAGTGGAATTTGTCACTATACGTCAACTTCATGGACTATGAGAAGGCGTTTGACAGTGTGAACAGGAAAACATTATGGAAACTTCTTCGATACTATGGAATCCCTCAGAAGATTGTCAACATTATCCAGAACTCATAGGATGGAGTACAGTGCAAAGTGGTGCATGGAGGACAGCTGACAGATGCATTTCCAGTTAGGGCAGGAGTCAGACAAGGTTGTCTACTCTCCCCCTTCCTCTTTCTTCTGGTGATTGACTGGACACCGACCTAATCACAAATGATGGCGAAACCCTAGAAGAAGTGGAAACATTCACGTACCTGGGGAGCATCGTTGATAAACAAGCAGGATCGGATGCAGATGTAAAGAAGAGGATTGGCAAAGCAAAGGCAACATTTTTACAATTGAAGAACATATGTAATTCAAAACAACTCTCAACTAATTTCAAAAGTGAGAATCTTCAATACGAACATCAAGACAGTCCTACTGTATGGAGCTGAAACGTGCAGAACTACTACATAAATCGTCAAGAAGGTACAAGTATTTATAAACAGTTGTCTACGCGAAATACTCAACATTCATTGGCCGAATACTATCAGCAATAGCGTTTTATGGGAGAGGAAGAGCCAGCTTCCATCTGAAGAGGAAATTAGGAAAATACGTTGAAAGTGGATAGGACATACATTAAGGAAATCACCAATGTGCATTACAAAGTAATCCCTAACTTGGAATCCGAAAGGGAGCGGAAAAGAGGAAGGCCAAAGAACACATTACGCCGGGAAATTGAAGCAGTTATGAATAACAACAGGAAAGAAGTGGAAAGGATTGCCCAGGACAGGGTTGAAAGGAGAATACTGGTGGGTGGCCTATACTCCTAAACGAGGGGTAACAGGCATAAGTAAGTAAGCAAGATAGGTTAAAGGTAAGCCGTAACAAAGAAAGAAATGAAATAAAATACATAAAAACAATGTGATAACCACTCTGGATAATAAATCAGTGTTACCAGGGTAGGTTAAGGGTAAGAACAAATTGTTTTTGAACTCATAAAGGGGTCTCAATTACCGTATAGCCAAGTCTTCAATAAACCTTAGTATACGTCCTTGAATGATGACTTGTGATCATTCTCAATCAAATATTTCGCAATGAAAGAAGATATCTGTCTTTATTATGGTCTTATTTGACCATTGGAATTCATTTGTTTCTGCAACCATTTAGGTATGTGTTCCGCCACCCTTAATTGCTGATCACGATTGCTCCTCTTTATGTACGTGTTTTCGCACATACATATAAATTGTCAGACACAGCGGGATGTGACACAATCACTTACGTGCTGTTTGGGTTTTTGGTGAAACATAGACCTTGTCTTTTCAATAGTGACAAGTTGGGTAACGTAAAATGTCTTGTTGATCATTAATTTAAGTCACTGTTTCAACATGAAACTATTCGGATCTCCCCTAAATGGTAAGACAATATAAGCTCACTTTTTGGGTGCCAGAAGAGTCAGAGGTCTAATCGTATTACAACCCTTCCAAGGGTTTATGAACTTCAATGAATAACCATTTATCATTGAGAGCTTCATTTCTACTTCAATAGTATTTCTAGCACAAATACGATTGACTCTATTAAATAAGCTCTTTATTAATTCACGTTTGTAATGAATTGGTCTGTGACTATGGAAATTAACATATTGCTCTGTCCATGTCGGCTTTCTATATACAAAACGTTGGATAGACTCATCATCTCACCTACTAATCAGTATATCTAGGAAAGGAAGTTGATTGTTCTTCTCTCCTTTGCATGTAACAAAAATATGCTTTTGACTTGTGTTTACAGGGTATGTTGAAAATCTAACTGAAGACTCAATTCAGAATATGTGTCTGTATAAGCGATACATTAATGATATCATAATTACAGGGGATAAATTTGAAGGTATGAACAGCCTCGTTAAAAGAACTCAACACAAGTCAAAAACATATTTCTCTTCCGTGCAAAGAAGAGAAGAACAATCAATTTCTTTTTTTTTACGATATATTCATTAATACGAAGGATGATGATGGTTCCATCTGACGTTCTGTATATAGAAAGCCAACATGGACAAGGCAATATGTTAATTTCCATAGTGACTGCCCAATTCATTACAAACGTGAATTAATAAAGGGATTATTCAATAGAATCAATCATATTTATACTAGAGATACTAATGATCAGATTTTATCGAAATTCATTAGTTCACTAATCTAATTCTAGTCAAATCATCATGTTAATTAATCATCATTCATATGTTATTAATAGAGGAAATATTTTACTCTTATCATGGGAATATATGTATTACTGAAAACAATTGATAGAGTAATAATTTATAAGTTATTCTTAGTTGTTAATAATTTCCATTGAGCTTAATGTCAATCTATAGTGTAAATTAATTTGACATGAATTCTATGACACAGTCGAAGGTAGGAATAGTCAACTCTCCCTCTGCAAATACTCTCACATGACCAGCGAATATATAGCCTCTGCCAGGGAAGTCCTACTCATTGCATTCTCGTGACACTACTGTTGTTTACGAAATTGAGAGGACGAAAAGCGAATGTCCGGCGCTTTAACCGGGTTGGTGGACAAGGCGAGTCCACCTAGGGGAGTTGGAAAACCTTGATTCTAAACCAATAGTGCACATGGGCTCTAAGACCCTGAGGAAACAAATGTCATATGAATCTATTGTTGATGAATGACTACTATAGGACTGCATCTCATAATATTGCTACACTATCTTATGCATTAGACCTTCAAGGATTGTCTTTTTTTTAGGGAAACCACCTGCTTCGGTTTAAGCGCTAAAACGATACTGCGGCCTTCACACAGATCGAATGATGAAATGAGATGATTACATATTTGGTACCTCCTTCTACCAATGCTTATATGTATGAATAAATTTAAATAAAATAATAAAATTAAAGAGTGAGTCAATTGACTCACGCTTTCAACCATGATAAATACTAAATCTCCATAAAAACCCTTTCTATAATTAATATAATCATATGCTCACTAGTGACTTCGAGAAGTATATCTAGGAGCTCTAGTGAGAAGCAGTGACCAGTGGAGTTCAAAACCACGTCAGTTGTGAGATAGGAACTCACTGAAGACAATTGATGAATGATTGCTCAACTTCGTGGATCAGTTGAAGTTGGACATTAACACCGTTGGATGCCAGCTCAGTGGTCTATCGGTTAAGGGCTTCGGCTCGAGACTGATAGGTCCTGGGTTTAAATCTTAAGAGAGCGGGTTCGTGGATGCGTACTGCTGAGGAGTTCCATAATAGGACGAAACGGCCGTCCAATGTTTCTAGGTTTACCATGGTGGTCTAGCTTCATTTGACTCACGCTTTCAACTATGATAAAAATAATTTTTTTTCTTTTTTTTTCTTCTGTAATTTCAATGAAATAGCTTTCATCCAGACTCATATATTGCTAATAAACGAAAATATAAATCTACTTATAATGAACCATATCATAGATTAAATGATTTAATGAATTTTCAACATAATTCTACAGAATACAATTTAAATGGAACTACTACTATTACTACTACTACTACTGATAATAATATCAGTAGTTTATCATATCCTATTACTTCTATGAATACAATTCATTTAAATCAATCATTAACAACACCAATATCAATTAAAATTCATCAAAATGATAAACATATAAATCAACATGATCTAGATCATTCAATGAGTGATATATGTTCAACTAATTCATCATCATTATCAGATCATACTACTAATGGTATAAATTATTCATATCCAACTAATTCATTATCATTATCATTGAATAAAGAGAAAAGAAAAGAAAATTTTATTAATACTATAACTACTACTAATAATCATAATAGTAGTAATAATAGTGTATACTTTAAACATAGAACTTTACCTTTAGTACCTAATTCATCCTATGAATATCAACATAATTATCATAATATAATATTAACATCATCATCTTCATCACCATCAACATCATTATCATTGTCTCAATTCATGACACCAATGGTAACATGGCGTATCAAGGATTCAAAAGAAATTTATTATGATAAAAAATTATTACGATTAATTGAACAATTACCAAATGATAAACAAAATTCTATTGGTTTAATATTATTAGCAATGGATGTTAAATTATTCAATTATAATAATAATAAATCAATTAATAATACTTATAATACCACTACTACTTATACTACTACTAATAATACTACTATTAATAATAGTAGTCATCTTAATTATTCTGATATATTCTCTGGTGGTTTAGAATATCGTCTACGTGAAGCATTACAATTAATTCAACCAAAAAATAAAATGATGAATGATATAGATCATAATTGTAATACAAATAGTGAATTGAATAAATCATATTTAAATAAAATTATTGATGTTCGAAGTAGAAAGTAAGTTGATAGAGTGAACCGTTTGTTTATTATTATCATGTTGTGTGTTCCAAATACGACTTGTCAATTATGTTGCGTGTTCGCTAGACCGGATTATCAAATCTGTAGTGTCGTGCTTTGACTATAGTTCATCTCGATAAGCGTTATTATATCAATCTTAACGGTGTATAATATCAGAATGAAAAAGGAAGCGGCAACTACATTTTTATTGATAAATGATGCAGATCAGAATGATGACACATATTGGAGATGGCGGGGAAGCCAACTCATTTTAAGCAAGCGTTAATCAACATTTATAGTCAGACAAATATGAATGACAGACATATGATGAATAAGACACGAAGTGTGCATACACATACGCCCATATAGAAAGTAGTCAAGGTTAATAGGCGAATAATTAACAATATCAAAATAGTACTCATGATGTATTGGCTTGGCCAGAAGCTACAATAAAGTATATGGGATTAACATAACAACCGATACTACAACCATTAATTAAGTAATATGTTCCATCTTAAAAAACAAAGATGGATGATGGTTAACAACGAAATCCAGAATATGCGTTTCGTCCTATTTTGGGGGACTCATTTGTCGTATACCTATACCTTTACTCCACATTTCGCAGTGACATTCATTTCTAAGCTGGAATGACTTCAATATGATTATGATAATTAGTTGGATGAGACAACACTAATTTCATCATAGAATAACAATGATTGTATTGCATTTAACAGTTGGAGAACACTAATTGTTGATGAGAAGTGTACTATTCCATACACAAATGTAGAAAGCCGACTTGTAACAACTGTATAGCTTGTGATGAACTCTGCTAGTCCTGCATATACCATTACGCGTTTCGTCTTATTTTGGGACTTATCGGCTAGATGTATCTTATGAATTGCAGTCGTGAACATCATTTGGAGGATTCAAGCAAATAATATCAAATGAATTAGTTCCATCTTACTTTGAGATATCTTATGAATAGCACAATTACAAATCTACACAATGTCAAACATGAGATCTTCATGTTTTGATGTGGATATTATATCCTGATTGTTAATAAGTTAAAATTCAATGATTGATATTTCAAATTTGATTAATTTTGTAATCATTAGTTACTTTGATCATTGACTAACTGATTTACTACCACGTTGAATGGTTCCATCAATCACCATCTTTCAATACAATATAGAAAACGCAACTTTTAAGCTCATAGTTGGGATGATTCTGAAAATTTCTCGCAATAGACATGACAAGCTCAGGAAACATTAGGAAACATTTAATCCAATTAGCGTTTGATTAGATGTTTTTCTATAAATATCGCGAAAACGAAAAGTCCCGTTTAGAGCTTCTAATTGGCTGATTAATACACTACTACTATGTTTAGTAGCATTCTAGAATTTTCAGGAAAACCCATGAACTTTTAAAATACTATAAAAACCCATATTTTCTGTACACAAATAAACCTTTGGAGTAAAGTGCTTCTCTCATATTTTGTGCCATTTCTCTCTTGTTTAAGTCGCTATGTAGTTCTAGCTTTGGAGGGGGTTACGAGACTAGCTTAGGAACAGAACATACCGTTCAATTAACAAGACTTATCACTCATAAACACAAGTTATATGATGAATCGAAATTTTACATCAAGTACTAACTATCGGTTTTCAATGGATTTAAATTACAAACAGGAGGGTTACTGACAAAAAGTGATAAACAGACTTGAAATTTCTTCTTTTCCTTTCACAAAACCATCAGGGCATCACAAGATTTTTTACCTTACTTTTTATAATAATAAGCCATTCTCTATATTTACTAAAACTAGGGTTGTAGTAAGTAACAGAATTATACACCATCCAAAGCACCATTCACCCAACGTTAAAGTTACCATTTACAAAATCAATACATACTGCCCAAAATGTGCTATCCATTTTTTGCATACCAGCGATGCTACAATATTACAAAAAGGTTACGTACATAATTTTCCATCAGGCCTTTGTCGAACATATTTCACAGCCAAGTATCAATGATGGCAGAAATATTATTATATTAGACATTTTTCGGATATCCGTTTAGCCATAAAGCGAAGTACTGAATCATCGGTGATATTGTAGTGAACAAAACACTAGTTGGGGACAATCGAATGTATTTAAGCAAACATTACAGACTATCTCGGTAAATTTTGATTACCAAACAATGAACAGTCAATTTGCAAATTAACAACCAATTGTTTCAATCTTCACTGTTTCTTCTCTTATTCCATTGCTCATACATTTTCCAAACGATTGCGCTTCATTTCAGTTCTTTCCTCATCGGTCTTCTGCGAAAATACATTCTGTGTCTGACCCACACCATATACTACTTATATGGATGTAAGTAGACCACACCACGATATGAAATTGTGATTGAACTAAACCTTGACTCAATTAATGTTGAAAAAATTTGGTTACTTAAATGTACGAATATTTAGGTAAATCCTGGGAGTTCGTAGCTTGATTCAGTTTAGTATCCTGTGTTTGTCATACCTGTTTGTTTCAAACCAAAACAACAGACGACTGTTCAGAATGTTCCAGATTTCAAAAGTCCATTAACTGATAATCATATCTGTCATGTAATCGGTGAAGTAAACAAGAATCTTGATTTCACTTAAAGAATCCTAAATTCTTAGTTGAATTTAAACAACACAGAAATATCTAAAACAATGTAGGAAAAAACTTCCATCATTTTCGTACGAGGAAAAACTATGAATATAGGGTTGTGGAGATTATTGAGTTTTGGGTGAGATCATGAACTAATACACGTTAGACCACTATAGCGGTAAATAAATTTTCAAGATCAATAGCTGTGTAAATGTTCGACATTCCATGCTGACCACATTAGTTTTAATGGACTCACCTACTTGAAGGTGCTCGGTCATGCATCCGCACCAGATCACAAGTGGAAATGCCGTGCTAAACTTCTCTTGCTATCACTAGCCAGTTTAGTCACTTCTCGATATGTTGATAACATATCAAATATATCTTCAAATCTCATCGCTTCTGACTTTTGATGTGAGTGAACGGGCACGATTCAACTATAGATGGTGTTGCCTGTTAAACTGGTGTCAAACTGAAATTCCTTTGGCATCATCCTCACATTTGAAAATCTTGGGAACACTGTGCGACCGTTTTGTTCTAGCATGAAATTCCTCAGCAGGTCTTCAGTTCGCAGGTGCGCACTGCTGAGGAATGTTTGATAGATTTATGGAATTACAATATGAAAATGTTGTTGTCTTTCACATTATTTAACTGATACATTACATAATAATAATTTTCACCCCCCGTAAATGACTTTGTTTTCTTTTCCGTTCTAAATCTATGATACTTTCATGTCAACAATATTCATGTGATGAATGATTGAAATCATCATTTCATATATCCATCATCTATATTGTGTACTTTAATTTAATACTTACCTTCTCTTTTTTCCATGAATGAAATGAAAACTTTCTAAACAGTTTGTAACATTGGAAAATGTGAAATCCATTAAGCATAATCTTCATTATAAAAGTACATATGAATTATGTCATTAAAATTGAAGTGTGGACACAATTTCGTATCCGCTTTTCCTTTTTCTTTTTTTCTTTTCTTTTTTAAAAAAAAAAGAGAAAAACTTCTATGACAAATTGAAATGAATGAAAGAAATTTGTGTGTAAATTAATCAAGAAATTAGCTCTTTACATTTCATTGTATATCAGTTAGAGAAAACTTGTTGAATATAGGCAATATTACTAAACTTGAAAAATAGTAGTATTGTGGTGTTGTCTACTTATATCCATATAAGTAGTATATGGTGTGGGTCAGACATAGAATGTATTTTCGCAGAACACCGATGAAGAAAGAACTGAAATGAAGCGCAATCGTTTGGAAAATGCATCTTTGCTTAAATACATTCGATTGTCCCCAACTAGTGTTTTGTTCACTACATTCGGTGTCGCTGCCAACCAGGAGGAGGAAGGGTGCTGTTCTGCGGACGCCGCTGGAGGTCTGGAGTTGAGGTGCTAGTTGGGGCAGTCTGATGCGGAGAGTTGGCGTCGAGTGGAGTGTTCTGGCGGGGCGGCGTTGGCTGTGGCGGGTGCTGTCGACGGAGAGGAGCAGTGGGACGTGCGGCTGCTGGGCGGACATCGGATGTAGATGGCTCAGCAGGCCGGTGGAGTACGGATGTTGAACGTCCCAGGTGCCGGGTGGATGCGGATGTTGGTGCCCCGGCAAGTCGACGGAGCTATGGAGGTCAGCGCGCCGCAGAATCGACATTCTACCGGAGTTTTTGGCACGGACTGCAGTGAAAGAAGATAGTGGCGTGGCGAGCAGAACCACCCTATGAACGAATGCTTTAAAGGGGGGACGAGTGTGGTGTGGTCTACTCATATCTATATAAGTAGTACATGGTGTGGGTCAGACGTAGAATGTATTTTCGCAGAAGACCGATGAGGAAAGAACTGAAATGAAGCGCAATCGTTTGGAAAATGTATGAGCAATGGAATAAGAGAAGAAACAGTGAAGATTGTAACAATTGGTTGTTAATTTGCAAATTGACTGTTCATTGTTTGGTTATCAGAATTTACTGAGATAGTCTGTAATCTTTGCTTAAATACATTCGATTGTCCCCAACTGGTGTTTTGTTCACTACAGTATTAATTGATTACATTGTAGTTCACTGACTGGGATATTCTTTGCAACTGTTTGTCATCAAAGAGTGTACCGATAAAGTATATAAACTTTGGGAAGATTCTTTACTCGAAAACTGCTTTCTGGACAAAAGTTTACGGAAAGTGATTGTAGTGTGGTCTAATTATATCCATATAAGTAGTATATGGTGATGATCAGAGATAAAATGAATTTTGGCAGAAGATCGATAAGAAATTAACAGAAATGAAGCGTAGTCGGTATGTAAATGGATGAACAATGAAATTAGAGAAGACAGACTGATATTTACAGAAGGAACAGTTAGGATTGAGACAATTGATTGTGAGATACTCTTTAAGTTATGTTTAAATACATTCGACTGTCCCCACTCGTGTTCTTGTTCACTACATGATCATCGAAATTAGTAACCTAGATTGATGTTCTCTATGATTGCTTACTATCCTCATTTTTATTCATCTTGAACTAAGACAACCCTTTATAGATAACATTGTCTCCTTTCGACTTTCTAGTAATTGGTTCTTTACCAAGAAGTTATCTTGTTGACACGAAATATCTAGATGATATAATCCTTTTTAGTTAACTCTGAGAAAATACAAAGTCTTCAGAATGTCTCTATCAATAATACAAGAATATTTAGGGTGCATTTGCTTCTCTCTGCATCACAGAGAGTGAAATAGTAACATGAGTTGATCATTGTACTTATCTTCATCTCATTGACACTGATGCGTTGCTAGTTGACAAAACATCGACTAGAGAGAATAAGTGGTATTTCCGAGGTCTAAACGTCGCGATTTCGATCTTTCGGGTGGTTATAGATGGGTATAGCCTGTGAGGGGCCCTCATACCAGGATGAAACAGATATTTGATGCTTTCGAGTTTTCAACAGGCTCTAATTGAAGTCACACACAGACGCCAAACTTTATATATATATATATATATATATATATATATATATATATATCGTCCTTTAGAACATGTACATTTGAATCCTGTAGAAAACTATTCTAAATACTGTTTGTAACTTCCCTATTTTGTTTTCTAGAAATCTCAATGAATCAAAGAAACCATCAATCAACTTTGCAAAAGAATCACCTAAAGAAGACGGTCGGGAATCTGGAATAGATCCGGATACATTAGATGAAACATCGACATCAATGATTGGCAATTCTTTAAGTTTGAATGATATGAAATGTACTACTAATGATCTTAGTAATACTACTGAAGTAAACAAACCAAGTGTAATTACAATATTAAGACGATTAGCAAGATATTTAGCTTTACGAATAGCAAATAAACGTCATAGCCTAGCTACGGCAAATCAACATGTTGCAAGAAATGCCATTGAAGAAAAACTTGTAAGTAGTTTCTTATCGAAATTTTGATTTGCATTTACTGTCCTTTTAATCACCTTTTTCTCCTTAATTAAATAACCAAGGTGTGGGGCTTGTAATGTTTATAATGAAAGGAAGATAACTATTAAAGAATAACTAACTACATGACATGAATGCATATCCAATCCACTCATTTCATTTGCAAAACGATACGATTCTCAATCAATGTTAATGATAGTTTACAGTCGAACATGATGTACCTCATGAGTGAATCCTTTTTCTGTCACACTGTTCAGAAAACTATCTTGAATATAGTCACCAAACAACATACAGTTATTATTTGGATTACTTTTGGAGAAAACAGTTCTACTGAATAGAATTTGCTTAGCTATGGATGCCTGTCTCTTAAAATAAAAAGGTTTCTGAAACCCTAAAACGTAAAACTTCAATGAGAGAATGTAGTCCATTGTTTACATTACTTAGATAAACTGTTACTATGAATATGAACTGACTCTCTCCACTCTCGATCGTGCTAAAGCATTTAGAGGCGTATAACCATATGGTTTAACTATTTAGTCAACTAAACGTATTTGAATAGAGAATTTCAAACAAGCTCTGATTAAAATTCCACCAATTAACATTCATAAGATCTGCCATCATAAAATATCAATATGGTAGCAATATCTCTTTGAGGTCTGTGTAAAATATCCCATGGAAATCTTTGATAGTCTATTCCAGTACATTATCCAAATAAGTCTTAACACATGACTTTATATATATCTTAACCTAATTACTTCACAATTATTAACTGAGTGGGTTGGAGAATGTTGATCGGAGGCCCATGCTCCATTAGGAGTAACAGGCGTAAGTAAGTAAGTAAGTAACTAAAGCAATAACTACTTTTACAGTCGCAAATCATTATAAATAGCATAAGTCCATCAAAATAAGTTTTGCATATTGTCTATTCTGATAGTGTATGGTGCTATTATTATGGTGTTGGTTACTTATATCCACACGAGTAGTATATAATGATGGTCGGGTAGTGAATGTATTTGAGTAAAAGATCGACAAGGAAAGAACAGAAACGAAACGCAATTGATATGAAAATTCGTGAACAAACATAATCAAAGACGATGGACTGATATTTGAAGAAGGAATGGTTGTCAGATTTCAGTGAGATAGTTTATCATTTTGATGCCCAAATTACATTTGATTGTCCCCCGTCCCTGGTGTTCTTGTTCACGCTACATTCTATACTGAATATTCATAGAATTATTCCAATGGTTTAATATAAACTCAACTCTGATTTTCTTTACTTTTTCTTTTCTTTTTCCCCCATAGTTACGATCTAGATTAAGTGAATTAAATATTGATTATCATCATCATCATCATCATCATCCGCATCATGATGATCATTTAGTGAATAGTTGGAATTCATTTAATTCAATGGATATAAATTATGGCACCATTGTTAATCGATTTGATCGATTACATAATAATACAATTGCTGTAATACAATTATTATGTCAATTAGCAAGACGTTTAGCTATATTAGATGGACAATTATATTGTTTAAATAAAAATCAATATAATGATAATGTAATATTATTATGTAATAATAATAATGATCCATTATTACCTTGTAATCATTACACAAAATCATTAATAAATGATACATCAACAACTATGTCAAATCACTTATTGAATGATTTCAATGATAAGGATAATGATAATGACGATGGGAATAGTCAATGTGAATTAGTAAGTAATGATGAAATTATAGTATATATCTATATGAATTACTTACTTACTTACGGCTGTTACTCCCGATGGAGCATAGATCGCCGACTAGCATTCTCTAACCCATTCTATCCTGGGCATTCCTTTCTAGTTCTATCCGATTGTTGTTCACTCTTCTCAGATCTGTTTCCATTTCTCGGTGTAATGTGTACTTTTACCTTCCTCTTCTCGTTTGACCTCCAGGATTCTATGTAAAGACTTGTCTTGCAAAACAGTTGGGTGCTTTTCTCAATGTGTGACCTATCCACTTCCAGTGCTTTTTCATGATTTCTTCCTCCACTGAAATATGATTTGTTCTCTCCTACAGTAGGCTGTTGATGATAGTGTCTGACAAATGGATCCGAAGTAATTTACGTAGACAACTGTTAATGGACAGTTTTATCTTCTGGATGATGGTTTTCGTAGTTCGTCACGTTTCCGCCCCATACAGTAGAACTATCTTGATATTTGTATTGAAAATTCTTCCAGCATCACTATTGTAATTATTGTTTGGAGATGTTGGACGATATGGCTTAGAATTGGTCTTAATGAAGCAGATCCATTGATTTATTTTTTCTTTTCTTACATTTTTTTGAATCCACTCTTCTCTTCTAGAACTATGTGATCTACTACTACTACTACTACTACCACTACTACTACTACTACTACTACTACTATTACTACTACTACTACTACTACTACTACTACTACTACTAATACTTGTTTGCTATCATTTATACTATTATCACAACTGTTTTGTCATTCATCTTGACAGTTTTTTCTGGCTTTTCTGATGTGGTGTACAATTTTAAATCAATAGACTTGTAGTCTACCTGATTTGTGAGCTGATGATGTAGTTCAGAAGGACGATGAAAGCTCCACGAACAAACCATCTAGCTCAGAGAACAAAACTCCATCAAAATCATCCATCTGTGGTACAAATCTTCTCCACTACTTTAATAAACTTGTGTTTTTATATACTTTGTTTATAACTGAATTATTGACTGGCTGGATGACATTTTGCTTTGCTGGAGTTCAATATCATCTGCTTATAGTAAAGAATATTTTGACTTGAATATCAAAGTTACCAATTGCATAGAACCAAATTTGATTCATATTGAGGTGGAAGATACACCATATATCAACATAGTATATTAAGAAGTGTAGGAGCACACTGAAAATTTAATCAAATGAATTAGTTCCAATAACTGATCATCACATGTGATAGAAAGGTTCGAAACGACTCATTAGAAAACAAATACATAGAGTATCGTATCTAGAATCAATCGGCTAGACAACTAAGGGGGTTGCGAAGTAATTTGATTATCACTAAGAGTAGAATATGCAAATTGTCATTCGCCAATAAGAGATTAATCGATTGTAATCTTAAATGTCGATGGGAAGATTCAAACAAACAATACAAAAATGATTTTAAAAAACTTCACCTCATAACTCAAGCTAGTTGTTATATGAAATCAGTAACTAAGTGGATAATGTGATGGTACTTGAAGTGAACGGTGCTATGTTCGAGTCTCGGAGTGAACATCAACTATGAGATGTAGATGTATCCAATTGATAAGTCCCAAAATATGACAGAAAATAAGTCCTGGATTTCACTGCTGGCCATATTTCACCTATTCTATATCAAATTTATACTTTTTCAATAGAATTAGACAACTTGATAAATGTCATTGCTCTATCATTGATTGTTAGGATTACGTAATACAAAAGCGGAAAAGTTTAGTTTAACATGACTTTGAACTTCTTGTATACACCATTCAATGGTTTCATTGACATATTCATTATATAATGTGAAGTATTTGCCCCTCGCCCCCCACCATGAATTCAACATTTCTTCTTTATTTATCATAAAATCTTTAGAACTTTATTAATGAGGATAAACCTAAATAACGAATCGTGAGAATGGAATAATATAGAGATATACATATGCGTGTGTATACGTCAAATGTTCAATCTATCACAGAGATTAATCTTCTTACAATGTATTCAATGTTTAATCTACCAACATATTTATATATATAGAATAATGAAGATTGAAAACTGGGTGGTGATTAATGTTATGTGTATCAAGTCCTTCTTACTGCAGATCAAATGCTATCGATCAAGTTGAAATGTGACTATGAAGCTGATGGATGCGTGATCGAATCCGTCAGTGTTCGGTTTAGCTAACCCCCATGAACTAAGATTCATTCATATCATAAACTGATCAAATGTTAGACTACTAGTTGAAACTTGGAAGCAGTGGGAAGATGTCTTGTTCCACAACAATACTTCTAACCAGTGCGCATCAATGACACAACGCACAAACATCAAACCCAAGCCCTTCAGTCTCGAGCGTGAATACCAACTCTCTAAATCATTAGGTTGGTAGTGGTCTAACATTGATCAGATCATGACTTTAATAAAATATGGCAATATACGCGAACGATAATGGGTTCGATTTGCGGAGTGAACCTGAACCCTGAGATGTAGATACATCCAACTGATTAGTCCTAAATAGGACAAAATACTCTTCCTGACTTCTAATGCTAGCCACTATCCATCTCTGCTAGTGATACATATGGAATGCTGGCAATATCGAGGCAACTACCTATCAAAGTGTTTATTTATCTTTATGAATTTTTACTTTCTTTCTTTTCTTTTCTAGTCACAAATCATTGAACAACAAAAACGTTTAATTATCCAAATTAAAGAAGCTCAATTATTACGAGCTGAATTAGAAACATGTCGACATCGTTTATTGGAAAGTATACCAGGACATATAAAATGTGATATAACTCATAATATAATTGATAAATTAGGAAGAGATTTTATGAATGATAATCAATTGACATCAGCAACAACAACAACAACAACAACATCTAACAATACTACTGATAAAACTACTTATAAACAGAATATAACACAATTGAAATTAACATCATCATCATCAGCATCATCATATACTACTAATAAAGAATTAGAACAGTCATTTAATGATCAACAATCTATAATGAATACAACACAATTTCTTAGACAACGTGTTACTGAACATTTAATTGAATTTTTAAATTGGTTTGTATTATCACAAGTAAGTTATGCCATCAAAGAAGAAGCCGTTGAAATGTCAGTCATTGAATTAACTTGTCTTACATATTCAATATGAGTTGAACTCTAGTTGTCATGAATTCTGTAAGAGTTACATCTTGGTACTATTTACGAGTATGCATATAGTTACCAATACGAGATTACGAATTTGTGGAGATTGTAGTAAGATAGTTATCCGCTTCAGACAATTGATGAAGGATTGTGAAAGATTATGGATTGATTGAAGTTAGAGATTACCATGGACTGATGTTGTCTCAGTGGTCTAAATGTTAGGTGTTCGTACTTGAGATCAAATTCCTTTTGGTGTGGGATGGTGGATGTGCACTGTTGGGGAGTGTCATACTAGAAGAAAACAGCTTCCGATTTTTCAGTTGTTGGTCTAGCTTACATCAACTCATGAATTCAACTATAAATATTTTGTATATGTTAGTTGAGAATAAAAACTGAAACTTATTGAAGGTTACACATTGAAAACCAGTTGTTAAGGATTCATTCAAACGGTTGGTTGGTACATTCTTCTTAGTTTCATTTAACAATTACGACTATAACTGGCATCATGCGAAAAACAATAGAACAAATCTAACAATGATCTCAATACTTTAGAACCTTCCAAAATATTGTGAATGGTAATAGTTTTAGTAGTTGAGATCATGAGTCAATTGAAGCCAGATCACCATGGAAAACCTGGAAGCACTGGAAGGTCGTTTAGTCCCATTGTGGGACTCCTCAGTAGTACGAAACCACGACCCTTGTTTCACAAATCGATCAAGGATAGAATTATACCAGGTGTTATCGACCCAGTATTTCAAATGGGTTAGTATTCTAGGGTTTGAGTCCTAAATTATTTATGATCAAGCATTGCTAAAATGTTTAACACTTGAATGAAACATTTTTTCAGTAAGCCTCGATCTCCACTACTACACTAATTAAGGTCAGTCTATGAAGAATACAATTTCAAAATAGTTATATTTAACAAAGAAAAAAGTCAAATGTACTTTATCCCAAGAAATACTTGAAATTCACCGGATACTACACCGCTAGTGAAGTATACTTCAGTTGAAATGTTAAAAGAAAACAACCAGTTTTCACTTTCTTGTATAACTACTACTACTACTACCACTGCTACTACTACCATTATTACTACTATTACTACTACTACTACTACTACCATTAAAATAAATGAATCAATGAAAGTAAAGTAATAGATTGTTATTATATAAATGTATATCCTACTAACTGGTACATTGTTAACGTAAAGTTACCAACTATCAAGGTTAAGATGATTGACATGAGAAAATAACAAAAACGCTTACATAATCATCATTAATGGTAACTAGACAGTGAATTGAAGTTCTGTTCACTAACGAAATGAACGGCTTAGTTACCATGGTATATGGTGATTTATAATTTAAGATTTTTATTCAAATCATTCTAAAGTGAATGCAGTTTCTTTAATCCCTATTAAATATTACTGGAAATCAATTACAAATCAGTGTGAAATATACACCACCACCATGAAAAACCTGGAAGCACTGGAAGGTCGTTTCGTCTTATTGTGGGACTCCTCAGAAGTGAGAATCCACGATCCCGTCTCACGAGATTCGAACCCAGGACCTATCAGTCTCTCGTGCGAGCGCTTAACCTCTAGATTAGTGAGCCGGCATTCAACAGTGCTCTCAGGTTTTCCTTGATGGTCATTCGAAATACAAAATGGAACTGTCCTCTTCATTATTAAGTGTTTGAATAATCCCATAGTTGATATTTAGAAATGAATTTTGATTATTCTAAGATACAGATATATATCCAGGGTGAGATTGGAACGTCAGTCCTGGATTTCACTGCACAGCCACAATCCATTAATTATGAAAATGGCTCTTGAGTTGTTTTTTTTACCTTATCATTGTCGACATGGTTTGCAATATTTTTACTTGATATCAGTCATCAAAGATACTTATTAGATCTCCTCAATCTCAATAGTATATATTACGTTTAGTTAAGATGTTCGCATAATTTGACGGTAGTGTATTATATCACTGATTGTAGTCAACTCGGAAAGAATTTTGAAAATAACGAAGCACCACAGAATGAAATATTTTTGTATTTCACTGATAAGACTATTCATTAACAATGTTGTCCAAATACATATGAGCCACAGAAATCATTCCATTTGTGTGACAGTTTTGACACTGTCCAGGTAACGAGACCGAAAAAGTGACTTCCTTTAAAGGGCTACTCCCCAAACATTTGACCTAACGGTCTCACCCACAAGGCACTAGAATAACATAAAGAGGTGCAGTCCCATGGTAGCCTGTAACTATCAATAAGTTTACACGCCTATTGTTCACTCAGGATACTGGATCTCATGTATATCATTGATTGGGAATCAGGGATTTTGAACTCCCCTTAGATGGTTGCTGTAAATCCACCAACTCGGTGAAAAAGTCGGACATTCGTTTTTCACCCTTCCAATTTCGCATATACATGTGGCCATGTGAGGGTATTTCGAGAGAGAGAGAGAGCAGACTCTCCCCACCATCCACCGTAGTAAGAAATTTATGACCTCAACAATGTTGTGTATCAAAGTATCTCAAATAGTATCAAATCCACAATAGTTAAACATCATTCCATATTTGATCAACAATCACTTGTACACTTCAAAAGCATCCTTTACCCCCTCGTTTTCTCTCTTCTTCTTTCTTTTTTTTCCTAAATTTCATCATTTAGATATTTGAAACAGAAATTAAAGTAGATCAAGATTTATGGGAAAATATTCAAGATGAATTAAGATTTGAATTATCATATTAGATTCATCAATAAATGAATCCTTCTTTTTGGGTTGAATTGTTTGGTTGTTTTTTGTTATGTATTCAACATTGACAATTGAATCTGTTGAGTTTTGTTTTAAACTGTGTACAAAAAAGAAAAAAGAAAAGAAGAAGAAGAAACACCCATAGTGATAAAACATAATTGATTGAATTATTTTCCTGGTCAATATTATCATTTTAAAAATTACGTAATCATTTGATTATTGTATTTATATTCTTTTGAAAAATGTTTCTCCCACCCCCTTTTTCTTCTTTTTTTTTAATTTTTTTTTGTATTTTAAAAAAAAAATAAAGAAAACCGTTCAATGAATGGGTAATGTTATGCGATTGTGAATTTTTCTTTATTTTTCAATCGTTGGATTCACATTATTGATAATTGGTTAACAAAAATATATATGTACATTGATTATATACAGAGATGTGGATTGTTTTGTCTCTATGGAGAAATACTTACCTACTTAGTTAGTTACACACACACACTCATACACACATGTACACTTAGTAATATCATTCATTATACTCATTCTATGAATGAATACTTTACTTTTAGTATATCTTTGACAATGTTGTTTTGCTTTTTAACCAAAATAAAGCCGGAACTTAGTTTTCAACATGAACTGTCATAACTCCTTTAAATGAAGACCTTCTAAATATTAGGGCAGAGTTTAAATTTAATTCTCTGGCGAGCGTTTTTTTGTAGCTAATCAGTTTTCTAAGGGATGGCGTCGCCAACACTATACCCAATCGTCCTCCTTTATCCAGGCTTGAAACTAGTAGTAGACCCAGAGGAGCTCCGGGTGGAGTTAGATAAAGTTGATCTACACGATATTTTTGAGACTGAATCCAAATCTTTCATAACCTGCGATGAGAGTTTTTGTTGAATTCATCTTTATATCAGTCTATAAAACATATCAGGATTGAAAGTTAATCTCATCATAGATTGATAGAAGTTAGAGCCGTGTATGCAGGATAATGGATGCTCACTGATGAGGAGTTCCATGCTTAGATAAGACGTCATCTAGTACTTCCAGGTTTTTAATAGTGGTTCAGATTAGATCATCTCATGAATTCAGCTGTTAAAAACTTGGAGAAACCTCTGTATCAGAAAGAAATGGACGAATTACATCCAAATTTAGGGTTCTTATGAAAAGACAAGGATGAACACACAAACATCAAGTTTGTTAGTAAACTTAATATAACTATACCATGAAGTTGAAATATTATGGTTCACATTTGTTCAACTACCGTCAATTTATTAGTAGTATCATTGTAATTGTAAAAACAATAAGTGATCAAACCCATTATCAATGAAGATTTCTCACTAAACCAAATAAATTATAGAATACCATACAGACCTATGCTAATTGTATGTATCCATTGGGAGTATTATCAATGGTTTGAATTATTTTTTCTGGTTAGCGTTTTTTAGCGAGTTAGCTTTTCTACGGTAGGTGGTCGCCAACCCCATGGCCAACCCTCCCTTTTACCTGGGCTTCGGACCGGCAGTAACTCTAGAAGAGCTACTGGAGGAGTTACGCTTATTTTGATGTTGATATATAAAGCATTAACAACAGTTCGGTGGATGGTAACTGCTGAGACTTATTTATGGATTATAACTATATTATATTCTCATTGGATAATTATGAAATAACTAGATTATATAAGTATGTATATTCATATTCCTTTTATCATAAGTTTTCGTTTGATCTCGATTGGCTACTGTTATGTGAGTTACCATTCTCAATTTATACCCAATTTATTAACTACAGTCTATCACATTCATACACAGTTTTGGCTTGATCTTGTATAATTATCTTTTTTTTTAATTTTATGGTTTAATATGGTCTGATCTGTCTGTATATAAACCACATTCGTACGAAATATACGATTCATACAGTGGACGTTAACATTTGTGTTCTGGAGTGAACAGGCTGAGTTATGCAATAAATTACTATACGGAGGACCAGTAAGGATCCAGAGTTGGCGTAAGGCTTCTAGTGCTGGCTATCGCATCATTGGTTTATTATAGGGACAAGGTCATAAAAGGTGGTGTTCTGATTAGTGATCTTGTCACGTATTATTTGACAGGGTCACAAGACATAACAAGAAACGAACGTCTTGCAAGAACGTTTGCTACAGTAAAGTTCAAACTAATCCATAGCTCTTTTCATCACTTCAACAAAATAAAAGATATTCAACATGTGAAACAATCTATTAGCAGTTTTAGGCTTATCAAACACAGTTAAGGTAACAGCTACAAAATTTCACATTAGTTAACAAATTTCATTGACAGAAGGAAGTTTTGTGGAGATTTCAATAATTTTATATAGTTGAGATCATGAGTCAATTGAAGCTAGACCACCATGGAAAACCTGGACGCATTGAACGATCGTTTCGTCCTATTGTGAGACTCCCCAGCAGTGCGCATCCACGATCCCGCCTCACGAGATTCGAACACAGGACGTATCAGCGCGAGCGCTTGACTAGAAGACCACTGAGCTGGCATCCAACGGTGTTAATGTTTAACTTCAACCAATTCACGAAATTGAGCAACCATTCACCAATGTCTTCAGTGAGTTGATTTCAATGTTTCCGTTTTGGACGTTTACTCTCTTCCCATGGAAATCTATAATTCGATTCCCATACGTCCATAAAACTCAAACGCAAAGAAGAAAAGAACTGTTTAACAATTCATAACTATAGTCAATTTGATCAAGTGATTTGACATGGTACTAAATAAACATTGTGACTGCTACACAATGCCTGTCAACCACAATAAAGTATATCAATAAACATAAAAACCCGTCCATATAAAAGTTAAGGTCTTTGTAATTAAATGATATTGATATACTAAAAGAATAATCTTTGAATTAAGCGTTGCTGGAAATTGAGCAGTGAAATTCCAGCTCAGTGATCTAGAGGTTAAGCGTTCACGCGAGATCAAACTTCTTGTGTTCGATTTCTTTTGGTGGGGAGTCTTATACTAGAACAAAACAGTTGTTCACTGCTTCCTGGTTTTCAATGGTAGTGTGATACTGGTCGGTTCATGATGTCAATAAAAAATCTTGGATGGTTAATCTAGAATTCAAAGATTAGATGTAATTACATATTATTGAGTTTTCAACTGACTGTTCTTGTTATTTTGATATGATTGATTGAAAGATATTCTTTACCAATTAGTAATTAATCTGAAGAAAATATTACTGATGAGCATCAATAGCGAGATGGTAAACTATAATAAGGGCGAGAGCGAAAGGGAGAGGAAAAAGGTGTGAAAAAATTAGAAGTTTATCAATATGGGCGAGGATTAATGAACACAATCATCAAGAATGTAGGCACCGAAAGGAATAAAACTCTTCAAGATATGAATTTTGTCTGATTTATCGTCTGTCTCTTCACCTCTACAATCAATTGAAACGAAATTTTCTGACTTTCATTGAAGTCGACATTCAACTAATATGGTGATTTGTAGAATTTAGTAACAATGATCTATCCTTATTATCCCAAACATTTTATCTCACTCAGACTCCTAGGTTAATAAACTTCTTAGGAAGGTTTTAGTGGGCGTCAGATTTCTATCAGAATAAGAAATTGTTAAACAGATATGGGCGACACGAAAATGTGAGGCTATAAGATTGAATGGCGTTTCACTAAATGTCATGAGAATGTAATGGTACCCTAAATGAATTTGTATTTACTTACTACAAAATAGATGATTTGATTAGAGATTAGTGAAACTTTTATATAAAAAGATAAACGAAGTCCTATGTTATATTTTCTTGTACCTAATTTGAATAAAATTATAATCTCTATAAACCAATAAGGATGTTGATTTTGTGATAGTGGGCGGTTATGTTTTTGAAAAAGAGAAAATCACTAATTGTAATATTTGGAGGGAGTGCAGTAGTCGAACGCGTCGACAACTCCACTTATCTTGGAAGTCTGATCAGCCCTAATGGATTAATGTTTGACGAATCTTTATATGGATTCAAAAAGCTCGTTCGGCTTTCGCCAAATAACATTACTTATGATAAAGACGAGATGTTCGTCTATCAAGTAAGGGACGAGTATACTGCGCGACAGTTCGCTCTGTTCTACTTTACAGCCGCGAAACGTGAGTATTAAGAGTAGAAAACACTCGTAAGTTACTAATATTTGATGACAAATGTCTGAGAAATATTGATCGCATCTGCTGGGATTATCAGGTAAGTAATGATGGTGAATCAGTTGATCAGGTTGTAAATCTTCATCGACTGAGATGGTTGGGCAACATGTTACGTATACCTGAACACCGATTATCACGATGCGCTATGCTGACTAGTATTGGAGTGGTTGAAAGAAAGTTAGGGGCGGAAAACCAAAACGTGGCATCAGTCCATAAAGTCACTAACTTCTAGTCTCAGCAGACTACTTAGTTGGGGTCCGCGTGACTATCGTAACCAATGGTTGGAGACTCTGTGTGACATCGCTCAGAATCAATCACAATGGCGTTGGTGTATACGCTCCTTATCTTCCTTTAAACATTGAGACTGAAATTGCTTCATATCTGTAATTCTTCCTGTACTATATTCCTTATATACAACCTTTCTGTTATGTACTACCACAACTAAACTAACTACTTCTATGAATTCGATGTTCATCTTGTTGTGCTAACGATGTATGGCAACTTGGACCGATGCATTTATATGTCTGGTCCTACTTTGTAGCTGACTGATTGGCAATATTTGGAGATGCACAAACATGTCATATGACAAAATGAAGATCACACTGTCATGGGACGTTTGAATTTATTGCAAGACAGTTAACAGAATATTACCATGCTCCAGATGAGTATAAAGATCGAGCAGAGCGATCAACAAAAGCATATCATAGATTACTTGATATGGTGTCTGTCAGCTTGTCATTCACAGTGTCAGCTCAACTTCCAGATGTAACTCTAATGACTTGATCATCAGGTGTCCTTACTAAGCCGAAGTTTAT